TATGGAATAGACCTAATCAATAGGATCTCTCTATATCTTTTTGCTGAAAGCATTCAACCATAACCCAGTACTGTCAAGATAATTTAGATAACATATGCCTCATACTGCCTTAAATTTTGCTTCATTTATCCTGTAGAAACCTTTAAGGATGCAAAGTTATGTATAACCTAATCCTTTCCAACAGCTTATCCTATGCAAATACCAGTTATTACAGAAACGTTATCAATTCAGCAATAGTAAAGTATGGCGACCCCTTCCGTCCCAAATAACACCTCAATAGCACGTAATGCAACAGCAAACAAGGCAAAACGCAGAGGCAGGATGTTTAGAAGGCGAGATCCTAGTCGTGCAAAATCGCCAGAACTGCACGCGCGAGTTATTGCAATTCTAGTGTTGCATAAAGTATCCTAGTAACCCCCTATTCCGCGCCCGATCATGCAGGCTGGGTATTTTTTGTCTCCCAGCGACGAATATCCCGTTTATTCGGTTATCTGAGCGAGGAAAAGCGAGGAAATTCCGAGAGGAAATCGTGACGCGAAACTTCTGGCTCGCCGTCACTGACAGCTTGACTAGACAGCTTCAGAAACCCTAATCCCGCTCCCGGCCGTCGGCTTTTGATTTCCGACAGGCCTCCCACCCCTCAGCCCTGCCCTTAAAACGCCCTCGCCGAGAAATACGATTAAGGTCAGCCATATTTACAAGTTAACTCACCTTCCGTACAATCCTTCACCAATTTTGGTCCGTTTTATCGGTCTACGAAGCTTGGAGCAGTCAACATTTCTCCTCTTCATTATTTAAGCTTTTTATTTTTTTACCCCATATATGTAGCACATAGATCCAGACGCGACTCTCATTTAAACGAAGTTCCGATCCCGTTGACTGAAGGACTTTGTTGTTGTGCGAGCCATCTACGGGGAATAGACGCCCGACCCGCGGCCTCCCCGGCGATCGTCTTCTGTCACGCCGCCGCTGGGAAGGCCACCGGATCCCCCTCGCGCCGCCCCGAGCCTCCTCCGATCCCCCTCATTCCCATTCCAAATGTTTTAGACCAAAGTGACATTTTTCGAAGCACGGGGAATATGGAGATTTGGGGGGCAGTCTGCGCACGCACGCCGTCCGCCAAGGAAAGGAAGACCATTGCGGGCGATCGCGTGACTTTGCGTATGCGAGTCCGAACGCGGCTCCGGGAACTCCCTTGCGGCCTCAGTCTGCCTCTGGGGACAGACATGCCCAAAGATAGTATACGGACATGCCCTTGCTCCAGCCCTCGGCCCTCACGCCCTTTAAACACGCATTTACCCATGACGCAAAATAACGCGGGTCTTTATCAACATGATAAAGGTTTTTTTTTTTTTTTTGTCGGGATGCTAATGATACTCCTAGTGAGGGATTATCAGTAAATGCGCATTATCTTTTCGCCAACCAGATATGCAAATTGCAGAAGCCTGACAAAAAGGCTGAGGCGCCAATATTTCGTTTTGAAAGATCATTTTTAAAGAAATCTTATTGAAATAGGCTTTAATAACATGTATAGGCCTAATATTTATCTCTGCAACAAACATTAGCATAGACCTCTTTAATTTGGGATTATCCACCTATAATGGTAGAACATATTTTTGTCATTGTTAATATTGTTTGTTTCGTTTCCTCCTCATTATTATTATTAATATTATCGTGATCATCAATTATCATTATTATTGCTATATTTATCATCGTCATTATTATTATAATTAAATTATTATCATTACATTTATCATTACTGTTATCATAACACTTATTAGCGTTATTCATTATCATTATTATTATTATTATTATTATTATCATCATTAGCTTTATTATCATTATTGTTATTATCTTTATCATCATTATGACTATTATTATTATTAATGTCATTATTATTATTATCATTACCTTTATCATTACTATTATCATAACAATCATTAGCGTTATTATTCATCATTAGTATTATCATTATCAGTTTTATTATCTTTATTATCATTATTTATTATCATCTTTATCACCATTATTATCATTATGACTATTATTGTTATCAATGACATTATTATTACTATTATCATTACCATCATTATCATTAGTCTTATCAATGTTATTGCTACCATCATTGTTATCATTATTACTATTACTATCATCATCATTAACATTATTATTGTCAATACTGTTATTACCATCATCATCATTATTATTATTATCATTATTATCATCATTATCATTACTATTATTTTATTATCATTATTATTATTATTATCATTATTATTATTATTATCATTATTATTATTATTATCATTATTATTATTATTATTATCATTATTATTATTATTATTATCATTATTATCATTATTACTACCATGTTATTGTTATAATGATAACAACAGCAATAATAATAACATTGATAGTAATGGTATCACTGCTCTTATCATCATTATCATTATTATTATTATTACTATTAACATTATCATTTTCTTTATCACCCGTATTATCA